TTTTTCTCCAAACTCAATAGTTTTCGAGATAAAAAACGTTCTACTCTTAGCATGACCTAGAGATAACGACGAGGACGTAGTAGAATTTTGTCTCCTTTGGGGTGCTTGATTTGAGTGAGTCCCCTTGCCTCTCACTACAATACGAATTTTTCAGTGTTTTTTTTTGACACATTCAACACAAATTGATAAATCACATTTTTCACAGATAATTCTCGTTCTTACGGGACAATAAAAACAAAGTTTGAGTTTTGTTTGTTTGGACATATTGTGTTTCTCTTTTTTGCATTGTCTCTGCGTCATGTAATTTTTAGCTATTGAAAGTGCAAAATCTTTTGTTCCAACCCTTTTTTTCTCATCATTGACAGCATTCAATAGTACAGTAGCATTTACAATCGAAGCTTGAATTAGTCTTAAAAAAACTACCCACGTCTACTTTTTTGAACGAATACTCGGAAGTAAATTGTTACAATGTCCGTCGTGGACATCATGGCCACCCGTAAAACTGTTATAGACGCTAATAGCCCTCGGAGAAGGTATTTAAACTTTTTTTCCTTCTTGCTTATTGTATCTCTTTGAAAAGGATAATGGAGTTACCCCTGCAGCAGTAGAAATAATCGAAACTGGTTTTGAATCCATCACAGTGATGTAATTTATACCACTGTTCTTATCGTGCTTCACGGCATACTCACCTCTTTGAGCTCTTTATTTAGAACATTTTTATCTTTGATTCTATCTTCTCTAATAGTACCTGTACATTTTAGCCCAAGCTTCTTCAAATGCACAGCGAGATCTAAGCTTGTGCAATAATTATCAAAATAATGATGGAACATAGACATTTTGCCCGGAGGTATAACATGAAAAAACTTTTCTAGTAAATTCATGACAACGCGAGAACCTAAAGCACACTTACTTTATTAATTTAATTTACTTCCCGTTGTAGAATTTTTTCCGCAGTATAAGTCAATACCTAATACAAAACCATCGGAAGTACAAAGACCCCAGAATTTGAGACCAAATCGTATGGGTTTTTCTCGAATGAATTGTTTTAGAACCGTCCTCGCATAAGACTTAGCCATCATTTCATCGATGGAAAGAGCAGTTCTCCACACACCGAACTTCATAATATTAATTTCAAATAGGTTTAATAGTGATCGGACACGCCAAGCATAGTCAGTTGGATTTTTATCTTTCGTTTATGAATATTTTAATTTTGATTTGATCTCTTCAAACTTATTACGTGACGTAGCTAAAGAAACAACGTTACAAGATAAAAAGGGATCACGTGACCAGTAATCCCTCTGAGATTTCTTTTTGTTGAATGAAGTCAAAATGATTATTCCCACGAATGTATTTAAGTCTTTTAACTTTAAATCAAAATTATTTTCTTTGCAAGCATCTATAATATATTGCTTTATTTCAGTTGAGAAAAATGTTTCAAACAGTTCTGCTGACTCCATTTCTTGTATTTTATTTTTTACCGAGTCTTTCAATAAAATTTTGTCTTTCAAATTATCATTATGCTTTTTTTCTCCTTCCATCCACTGGAGTTCATGCGTTCTTTCTAATTTAATTTTAGTTTCAGTATATGTTTTACAAGCTTCTGTGTACGTTATATTAGAAATTTCATCATCCGAATCAGTATCGAAATCTGATCCATCAGAACCAGAATTGTCAGGATTTGGAAGGGTAACTATATCATCGTAAGTGTTGTTTGAAGTATCAATTTCGTACATTTCATGGGAGCGAGTGGAACGTCTTTTACGTTTTTGCGAGATGTTATATAAAATAATAAAAATACCTAATGAAAATAATTACTACAGTTTTCAATGCTTCTTGTCAAACCTAGACTTTAGAAAGCAAAAATAATCTTTTCGATTCGATTTACTGTATGGTCTCAAAATAACAAGAGACTAGTAAGTAATAAAAATGAGCTCACATACAATTTTCTGAATTGCTTTTTTGATATGTGTATATTAGTATACGCTATACAAACTGCACTTGTATACACATAAAAAGGCAAAACATTATTATATTATGGTTGAATGGCTGTTCTTTATTCTGTATCAAAAATATTAACGCTGCTAGGATTATAACCTAACTCACTTTTTATCTCGAAAACTATTGAGTTTAGAGGAAAAGTTTATAGAACAAAAAGTCTTAGAATTCATCAAGGAACATGCATGAATTTTTTTAGAATTTTTGGAGATGATTTTCGAAAAATGGATTTTCCGTATTCTCCGAAAATTCAAAAATCGCCTCGAAAAATTCTGAAAAAATTCAGGCGTATTTCTCGTTTAATTTTAAGACTTTTTTGTTCAATGAACTTTTTATCTAAACTTAATGGTTTCCGAAATAAAAAATGAGAAATGTTTTTTATGGATTTATTTTATTTTGCCACCTTTTTGTTGGAAGAAGTGGTTCAAAAATTCCACCAAAATTCCTGGAGATACTTTGATAGTCGTGATCACCTTTGATCATATTTGATTGATGATTTTTTAGCGGTAACATTGCTAAAACAATTCGTAAACTTGATTTTTCGCAAAATTTTTCAGGTTTTTACTGTTTAATTGGCTATAACTTTTTTATAACGCAATCAATCGCAATTTTGAAAAAAGATTCTGAAATAGCGTTAAATTTCCCATTCCCGAAAAAAACGCGTTAAAAATCGACAAAAAAATTGAGCATTCAATTCTGCATATCTTTCATGACCTATAGTTGAATAGTTTTCTGTATTTTCGTATACCCTATCAATTAATAGTACACTAAAATTTTGCATTAAATTTTGTATTTGTGAAAAGTCACCGAGATTCTTACCTTCGTTTTCAAATAAATAATGTATATCCGTAATAGCTTTATAATAACTTTCATTTCTACTATATTTACAAATAAAATCTTCGGATAATTGATCTTTAAAATCATTCCAAAGTTTAATTAGATCAATAGGATTGCAGTGTAATACAATTCGTACATATAACCTTCTAAGTTGCATTGGCATCATAAAAGCAGCAGCTTCTCGTAGAGCATTTGTCCATTCATGATCGCTTTCTATAACTCCGTAAGCTACACATACTGACGTAAAACTTTCCTATAATTCACCACTCACAGTTTTCAAATCATCAAAACTTGTAGATTCTTTTATACGGAGCAATAAAATTCTTAAGTGAAATAATTCATATTGACTTGGATTAACAGTATACATTCGTCCAATACAATTAATTTTTTTTTCTCTCAATTCATCGCTTAACATTTTTCCCATCAATTTGAATTCTTTTAAAAGTATAATATTCTGGAATTTCAGAATAATAAAATTGTCGCGCTTTAGTATCTCTAATATTTAAATCGAAATAATTCATCAACATTGATACTTGTAGATCTGTGGTATTCTCCCTTACTAACGATTCAAAGTCAACAGGATCCGTATGAATAGTTATATTTTGATAGTTTGGTAAATGCACAGGTAAACGAAAAATTACGTGACTTTTATCATGAAGTGATCGAAATAAAATACGCCAAACTGCTTCTGCTGGTCCTACGTAGCGTGTATAAATTGAGTAATTTCATCATGATCAATAACCGATCCATCTGTAGAATGTGTAACTATCACTGATGCTGCATCGTGTCCTTTATAAAGATATTTATGTAAATATTTAACAGACCTGATACTTGAACAAATTTCCACATTATGTAACGGGGGAGATAAATCTGAAAATGGGAAATTTATTTAAGAACAAACTCCCACGATGCAGAGCAAACCGCCGCTCCGTTAAATACGTATGATAATACGTGTATTCACCTTAACGTCAGATGACTTATCCTAGTTGTCTTCTATCGATCGGAGTTGAACTCACCTTAAGTCACGTGTCTTGTTACACTTGATGAGTTTTAAGTGTGAGCGACTTTACTCCTAATCTTCTTAATCCCCTAGATGTAATTGGATTAAAACCTAAGCCTGTTTCAAATACTTAAGCTACCAGGAAAATCAAATGACGAAAACGGTGAATAAATTTAACAGACTTTAATTAATAAAAAATCACTACAGTCTTTATTGGGCCGAAAGACTGACGCACGAAAATAGGATTTTACAATTTAATTATGTTCGGTGAGAGAGAGAGAGAGAGAGAGAGAGAGAGAGAGAGAGTAGATTTGAATTCTACCGCGAACTAACGCACGACGCGAATACAAAAAATATAACGCTATCACGAATAGACAAAATATCGAATGTATTTTGTTTCGCTTAATATGACGGAAGGTGCACCTACCATGCGGTGCAATTACGGTGATCAGCCGTAATTGTTGTTGCAAAAATTTCAATTGCTGCTGCCCCTCTATTATCAGCTGCGCTGCCTCGATCTGCCTCAAATTAGCTACAAAGCTGCTGCTTTTGCACTGCTACTGGTTATCTCGAAAATACCGTTGCGCTGTTACGTCTTACGACGCATCCTTTTTGTAACAACTGCACACTCGCGAAATTCAAAGCTTCTAAAACTATTCGCACGTCAGTAGAAAGCTGACGAAACGCGAGGTAAATGATACTCCGAAATAAAGTTGTTACACCTTACGACACATCTTCTTTTGTAACAAATGCATATTCAGGAAATTCAAAACTGCTAAAATATTCACACGTCAGCAGAAAGCTGACAAAACGCGAAACAAATAGCACTCCGAAATAAAGCCACCGAGCACAAGAATGTATATTCAGCAAAAAACAAAATGTCACAATTCGATACTGACCTGAAAATTAACATATAAAAAGCAATGAACATCATTACGAGCGGAGTTGATCAGTAGTCCGTCAGTCTGTCAATAAGTACCTGTAAGACTCAACTCCGTACACACCGGTCCGACAATTGGTGATCATTTTAATTAATAAACTCGCGACTGTTACAAGTAATATCGTGCAAGTATTATTCAAACCTATCCTATTCAATTCAACAAGCAGTTAGAGCCTGCTATATTTATTCAATTCAACGAGCAGTTAGAGCCTGCTACACTCATACAATCCAACAAGCAGTTAGAGCCTGCTACATTTTATCAACAATTAAAGGTAGTACAATCATCAGACATACATTTCCACATATATTTATAAGTGAGACATATCCGACCACTAGTCAACATATTGGAACGTCTCATTCATTAGCTATTCGTAGTTGATGCACGAGACGTAACAGCGCTCACGCACGAAATTGTCCCAAAAAACTAATAATTCGGCGAAAACAAAGTGCAATACAAATCGGCGGTAAATTCACGTTCACAGCTGAGGCGTAACTGCTTATTCAAAAGATCGCGCGCCCCCTCTCTCTCTTAGCTGTTAGAACTAACGCGCGAGAAGCAGAATCGCGAACGGTTCGATTAATTAAATCGACTACCGTTGCAATTAATATGACAATTAAACGTTAATGACAATATTGGAGCATATGGTACGACAAAACGATTATCAACTTCATATCCACACTGAGAAATAAGTATGGTTGAATCAACAACAGACGCTCTGTTAAAATGGAGCAACAAAGACTCCTTCGTTGTTTCAAGACACCCGATATATCAGTTTTACAGACGCCCTTCTGTTGAATTGATACATGTACTCTGTTCATTTGACAGAACCTCCGCTGAGTCGATGTCATGCATGGCTTGCTTTAACGTAAGGTTATTGGTTCATTCATTTAAAACTTTTTTTGTATCAACCTAACGAACTAAATTCTCTATAAAATTTTTTTTCTAATCTGAATAAAATGTTATATTTGAAATGGGAGAGAGGGAGAGGTAGAGGGGGAAGAGAGATCAGATCAGACTATTATAAACTCCACATACACTCAGAATACAAATTTAAACATATAGAAGACTACAGATTATTTCGCACGCAATTCCTAACGCATACATATATAAACGCTCGCAACGATCAGGAGAGTTACTCGCCAACTCTCCATTTTTCTTGTATAGTAGGGGTCTTAAGGCTTCTTATATACTAATGGAAAGAATTTCTATGCACTCGCAGAAAAGATAGTAAATTAAGATTAGCCACCTAGTGTCGCTTTATGTTACCAACTTTTCTGCTCTAAAATTTCTAGAGCAGAAGGGATAGAAAATAACTAAATTGACGTGTGAACGGATAAAAAATACTATGGTTCCATATGTTTGTCAAAATAATTTATTCAATTAAGAATTAAACATCATACAATACGTAACATTTCGAGTTGGGCATTTTCTGTAAACGCTCGCTGCCTCGGCTCTCATACTATCCCGCGCTGAAAACATTCTCTCCTCCGGTGTAATATGGCACCCGTTACGCTACTAACGCATAAATAACTAATATGAGTGTGTATGAGGTATATAAGTAAGAATAATCAAGAAAGAGAGACAGACAGATAGACGCCGACAGCGGTACAATTATTATTTTTTTGAAACTTCAGTTGATTAAATAAAATATTTAGTTGATTCAATAAAAATTAAGTTAAATCGATATCAATGCTATTGAAACAAAAACTTTTGCAGTTGTTTCAACTTACGAGAAGCATTCGTTTTAACCACCTAAGGTCTTTAGCCATAACATCAAGTTTTCTGTTGATTCAACAAGGTTCTGATATTTTAACATATGTGACGTTAACACAACATAATTGATGTCGAAACAACAGACTCTGCTGTTGGCTTATTTTATCATAGTGAATTCTACCAATTCAACAGACGAGTCTGTAAAATCATCATTCGCGCAATTGAGCCGATAGAGGACCAGTCAAGTGAACAGCGGATTAGTTGAATGAACAGCTGATACGTTGAACCAACCATTATTTTTTCTCAGTGCATTGGGACGTAAGAATTCATTTTCCAATATCTCTACGACGCAATGTAATGGTTCCATTATCATCAATCATTGTTTCTACCTGAAATTGTTTAAGGTATTTTTTCGAACATTTTCCATTGGTTTAACTTTATAAGAGAAATAAAACTTAATGTATGTGTTCATTTTCATAAATTAATATTTAATATATATCATAATTAAAAACATATTTTTATAATAAAAATGTATACGTTATTTTAAATGAATAAAAAATTTCTTTATTTGTATTACAAAGATGTTTATTATTTAATCATTATAAACTGATTTGACATGTAAAAAAAATATGTAATATAACTATAATTTTCAAAATACAGAGTAATAGTAAACATTTGTTAATTAATTAATTTCTTTAGATCGATATCCAGTAAGAATATTAGAAAGTGCTATTCTAGGTCTATCTAATAATTTAATATGATCAATTGAGTCGACGCGAAGAATGACTGGACCAGGGGGCCTATTCTGAAAAAAAATTTTAGCACGGGGCCTATTCTGAAAAAAAATTTTAGCACATGTCATAAGCATTTATCACATCTAAAGTGATTAATTCTGTGGTAAACTGAAGTGACAAACTGATTTACCACAAAATTTTTTTTCAGAATAGGCCCCCAGTTCCAAACTTTTCAACACAACCAACGACCTCTACCGACATGCCTTTTAAAAATTTACGTTTAAAAGAGTTAAAAGAATCATTGTTGATATCAAAAGTAATTTTAAATTCGATGAAATGAAACGTATCAGTTATCGAAGCAACAGTTGTACAAAACTCTTTAGATTTGAATATGGCAGGTTCTGTTTTTACAATGCCTTCAATTCCTAAAAATAAAAAATACAATATAGTTTCTTTAAAATATTTTTGAAATTCAAAAATCAAAAACTTACTCATAAAACTGCCAACTTTTTCATAAGCTTCAACAATTGATAATTCCTTGATGGCTTTATAATCAACATCAACAGCATTATATAAACCAAACACCTTAACTTCTGAAGAATCTTTGATAAGAAGCTCAAAATTAACATTTCCACTGTTGTATGCTGTATTCTTTATAGCTACACATTTAACGGACGTCACATGAACAATCTCATTTAAAAAGAAAGAAAATAATATTAAAATTGATTTATACAATATATACAATAATGGTAGCACTCTAAAGTCATTAGCTTTTATATGTTTATTTTGATTAGATAGGATAGGTTAAATCATTAGGTAAAATAAAAATAAAAATAAAATGGCAACATTTACTGATCCAAGTTCTTTCACCAAGTCCAATTTAGGAATCAAGTGGTTCCAGGCTATAATTTGAACATTTTTCGTGCTGTTACTACATACAAATTTCATATATTTGGATGCTTTACTCGAATGTGCATTGGCGTTAATTAATTTAACATAGCCAACGATATCGTTGTGATACAACACAATAAAAATTAAATTTTCAAAGCACATTAATTAATATAATTAATAATAATAGAAAAACAATTGCATATTACGTACACTGTGTTGTCTCCAATCTCGAATTCTTCAATGACTTCATTAGATGTAAAATCCTCTTTTGTTAGCTGCATGTTGCTCTCAAACATTTTTAACTGAACTACGAACTGTGAATTTATTTTAACTGAAAACTGTGAACTGTCGTTCATCATCAAACTTCTATTTGAAAACATCGACCAATGTTCAAACTCGAAATCGAAAACATCGATCAAATAAACTATCTCGATCATTCCTCTTGTTTAAAAATGGCGGCGCTCACTCGAACACTATCGGCCTATCAATATGACGGCACTCTATAGTCCTGCTCCCATTTACATTTTGAATGATCTCCTTTTGTCGACATGTTGGCGCTTCCCAGACACGTGCGTGAAGGGAGCAGATTTGTGTAGTGCGTGTAAGAGTGTGAGAGAGGTGGAGGTGCACATACTGAGGCCTGTGCTAAGTTTTTTTATTTATTTATATTATCTATTCTATTTTCGGATAAAAACTGAAAGAAAAATTTTAGAGTAGGTAAACTAGAGGGGCATCAACTCAGAGGGGTACTAGCTCACTGAGTTGAAGAGTGTGAGTTGAGGTGTGTGCATGTTCACCTCACCCCCCCCCCTCCCGATCGGCCCGTGCGCTGTCGACTCACCTCCCCCCCCTCCTACTGAGTTATACCGATGCGTTCTACGCACTCCCCCCTCCCCTACTGAGTTGATCTGATGTGACGTGCGTTCTTCCCCCTCTCCTACTGATTTGATTCCTATGCGCGCATCACCTCCTCCCCCTCCTCCTACTGAGTTATACCGGTGCGTTCTACGCACTCCCCCTCCCCTACTGAGTTGATCTGATGTGGTGTGCGCGTTCTCTGCAGCATTTCCCCCTCTCCCACTGATTTGATTCCTATGCGCGCATCACCTCCTCCCCCTCCTCCTACTGAGTTATACCGGTGCGTTCTACGCACTCCCCCCTCCCCTACTGAGTTGATCTGATGTGGCTTGATCTGATGTGGCGTGCGCGTTCTCTGCAGCACTTCCCCCTCTCCCACTGATTTGATTTCCTATGCACTGCGCGCGCGTTCTGTGTTTCGCGTTTTGATTTTCTTATTGTGTGTGTGTGTGTGTGTGTGTGTGTGCGCGCGTGTGCGCGCGTGTGTTAAAAATTTTTAGATTTATCTGAAAAAAAACGGACGGATCGGGGGATCGAACGCGCGTCCTCCGGATCCGCAGGCCGATGCTCTACCGCTAGAGCTACAGCCACTGTTACCACGGGCAATACCGTATTGTGTATACTGGCTACACACGCGATTGATATGTGCGGGGGGGGCGGCGGCGCCGGCGGTTGCTGCTGCTGCTGGGGAGGGCCCAAGCGCTAATACATACAAATGATAATAAAGTTTAATAAATATACTAATTATAATAAATATTATACATAAATATTTATTATAATTGGTATATAACGAATAATAATTTTTTTATGTTCGATGTGTGCGCGTGGGCGCGCGTGTGTGTGTATGTGTGTGTGTGTGTCTGATCGGTGAAATAAAAAAGATATATTATTAATAATTATTTATTATATAAAAAAATACAAGAAAATATTAAAAAATGTACAAAAAAATACAAAAAAAATATAAAAAATGTACAAAAATTTATAAAAAAAACCGACGCTTAGTTATCGTCACCATCATCATCGTCATCGTCGTCGTCTTCGTCGTCTTCGTCGTCGTCGTGATCAGCGGGAAATA